AAATTTGATTTTGACTCTTTCAGATGCAGCTAGATGTCATGGTGTGTTTTCTTCATAATAAGCATCAATGTTCTGAGAACTTTTACATTCTTGTAGGCCGTAAAACCTGGATTAGGAGACCTGGATTTGATTCCTGGTCTTGCTACCAACTAGCAGAATGTGTTTGGTTCAACCATTTAATTTAGCTGCATAATGTAGAAAATAGGTTTAAACAGAATAGTGCTTTTTCCCCCTTCCAATATCACTAATGTAAATACTTTTCAAAACCTCACAGAATCAAAGAAGAGAAAGGAGGGAAAGTAGAGATCCTATCCCAGGCCACAGGAGTGATTTGTCCCGTCAGAAACCAAGTTTCTTGAATCCCATCTGGTATTTTTAACCTCGTATTTGACATGTCCATCTTTCCATCTTTATTCATTTGTATGCAGTTACATATAACTTCATATGACAGAAGAATTCAGGATGTATATAAATTAACTTCAGGACACAATATAAACTTCACTTTGGGGAGGAGAAGTGACTCTGTGATTTGCCTGGGTTTGCTCAGTCCTGCCTCCCTCATGTCCACCATAGTCCCAGACACATTCAAGGGTCTTCATGAAACTAATTCACTCTAGAAAAAAAGGACACTTAAAAGTGAATTCAATTAAACTGGTAAAATATCAGTGAAAAGTTTCAATTGGAACTTTATCTTGAAAAATGGAACTATAAGTTATGAAAGTAAATTTATCTTATTTTAGATTTAATAAAATTTAGGTTATAATAAAAACTCCAGGCTAATTTGCAGAATAAACAATTTTCTGACTAGACAATACCGTGAACAGTATGTTTACTTCTTGTTTGACTTATGCAGTGTAATCATAAGGAGAGTTTCTTTTTTCCCCCAAGATAGTTTTTTTGAATTAATATTTGAAGACTTCATCAGTTTTTCCAAAAGCCTTTCTTAATCTAGTTATTTGAAGAGAATTTGAAGAGTCTTTCTTAATGTAGTTATTTGAAGAGAATTCTCTTTGCAGTTATTTATTATGTTATTGGCCTTGTTGATTCTTCTTTTAATTGTTGTCTGGTCTTTAATTGGGCATAACCCTTAATTATCAGTGGCTTCATGGAATATTAGAACAGTTCTCAACATCACTTTTATCTACTAGAAATTCTGTATCTTATGTAAGAATTTAAATTTCAGTCTGCAGGTGATTTGTATTTGCTGAGACTGAAACATTAAAAAACAATGAAAAGGAGATGATAGACATCAGTCTTAAGGAGGAAGGCCCATGTCATACAGCGACATAGGTCATGCACTGCAAAACCTCAAGGGCTGCCTGAAGGGGGAGACACGTGAGAGACGATTTAATTTTATTTGTGGTTGGATTATAGGTGATTGTTTTGATGTTATGACAATGTGTTTTCCTGAGCAGGCCTGTATCTACAGGGACTCAGATAATCAATAATGTGGTCATCAGAAAACCCTTCCTCCCATGACTGGTAGTGACTGAATGACTGACTATACTAGATGTACTTTTCCTGTGTCATTTAATACTGAGTTCATCTCTCCAAGGAAATATCTAGAAATGAAACACTTGTGAGACAATTAAATATAATAATACAAATCACCTAACAAAGAATTTGGGGGCAGTGGCTCTGCTTCAGACATAGATTAGGCCCTGCAGGGTGTGTGAGGGGATATTAGCCATGGTCAGCTATGAGGCTTACACCCAAGGGATAATGAACGTTAATAGCCAAAGCACAGTGTTGATTTTCTGTAACAAATATTCCAGCGTTCAGATATGCAAAAGATCATTGCCCTTTCTAATGCGATTAATGTGGGAGCCTTTATTTATTTTTTCATTCACTCAAATATTTATCGAGGATATACTACATGACAGGCTTTTTCTAAGGACAGTGAGGCAGTCACCAACAAGACAGAGGAACTATGAATTTACATCTACTTGGAGGAAACAGACAATAAACCAACAGATTAATAAGCAAGAAAAATAGACAAGAATAAGATCAGATAGTGTTGGGGGCGGAACAGAATATGCCGGGGCCACTTGAGGTGGAGTAATCAAGGAAGGCCTGTATGCGCAGGGGATGAGGGAGCTGTGCTCAGCCAGGCACAGGTGAGGAGAGCATTCCAGACTGGGCGCCGTTGAGTTTGGTGTGGTTGAGGAGCACCCAGGGGTCAGCGTGGGTGAGGGGGACTGTGGTAGGGGGTTGAAGGAGTTTGGGTTTTATTCTCAAGTCAGTGGGGAGCCAAGAAGGATAGTTAAGATGTTAAGGTTTTCTTTGTTCAAAGATTATTTTGGTTGCTGTATGGAGAATGGATTGAAAGGAGACCAGTGTAATAGACTAGTTAAGGGGCTGTGGCCATAGTCCATTGGACCAGGGAGGTATTACAGGAGATAGAAATGAACAGATTGGGGTATAAGGTTTTGGAAGTTGAGTTGACAGGACTTGGCTGCTGGATTGGATGTGAGAGTTACAGGAAACAGAAATTCAGAGTAACTCCTTGATGTTTGGTTGAGTAACTAGGGCAGTGATGGTGCTATTTATTCATATGAGGAGGACTGGCAGGAAGTGAGGTTGGAGCAAGGTGACAGGTCGGGCATTAGAATTCTGATGTCACCATTTTAAGGTGTCTGTTTAGACATTCACATGGAGTGATCAAGTAGGTGGTTTGATTAAAAAATTAAAAAGCTGATCACCAGTTTCCAATGAGAAGAAATAAGTTGAGGTTTTAAGTTTGTAGCTGAAATAGTTAAAATGCCAATTTTTATATTGATTTGACAATTTAAGTTATATACATGTATTTTTAAATCATGTGAGATATCTTGATTTAAACATATTGCTTTTTTCTTTACATTTTACAAAACAACTTTATTCAGATGCTTCCTGTACATTTCTGACAGATTGACATGCATTTCTGACATCAGTGTTTTTGCCCCACTACCATGATTTTGATTAAGTTAGTGCTTTCCAAAGTATGTCCCCTCATTTCTATTGAAGTCTTTGAGATACAGCATTATTTTAATATCATTGTCTGCTCTCATCACTGGAAACTTTGTCCCAAGCCACAGCATGCATTTATAAAACATTAGGACAATTATATTTTTAAAAACTCTGTGCTGTAGGTACACACTGGAGAGCTATGCAGTCTATTTACCTACTACATTGCTTTTTAAAGAAAGCTTTAAAATTTATAACTGTATCTAACACTTGGAATTATTGGATAATCCTGAGGTAATCCTGATAACATCTGTGTTATCTTTTTTTTTTTTTTGACCCATTTCATTCTAGATCAGTACCATTTCAGGGATATTTACCAAACAATAGATTGCGGGTCAAAATAAAATAATTAAGGGAACATTCCATAAGTGTAAGACTTAGTAGAGACTCCGAAAAAAGGCAAACTCTTCTCTTTCTGCATCTTTTTTCACTTAATTATAATTCAAATCATCATTGATATCGGTACCTATGACCATTTTTTAACGTCTGCCTAATGTTACATTTATAAATGTGCCATGACATGATTTGCCCCCCTTCTATAGGTGGTATTAGGTTGCTGCTTATCTTTGCTATAACAAGCAATACCACAGTAAATAAAGGTCCCGGTGCTTCCTTTGCCACATGTGAAAAACCTCTGAAACAAAGGATAAATGTATTTTAAAACTCGTTAGATGTTGCCTGCTTGCCTTCTGAAGAGGTGATTATCGCCTACTTGCCTTCCAAAGAGGTGATACCAATTTTTACAGCAGCCAGAAGGATTGGAGAGTGTCTGTGTCCTGACACTCTCCAAAACGGTGCATTGTCCAACTTTTTCATCCTGGCTGTTTGGTGAAAATGATCAATAAGCCACCGTGGAGTGCAGGCTGCATTGCTCTATAAGACCAGTTCTTTTAAATATCCTCAGTGGTAGCAAGTTTTTGTCTTTTGGAAGTAAGTTTTAGTTTTGGAAAAAATCAAGTCTAATCCTTAAGATACATATTAAGTTAGCTGTTTCTTCAGATTTGTTGCGGTTTTGCTTGTTTTGAGAGGAAGGCTTAGTGAAAAACAAGATCTAACTTTTAGATAAAACTAATATTCCTATATGGCTTATTAATTTCTTTTAGAAGCTAGTTTCAGAAGAAGAGTTCCAAAATGTCTAACGTAATAGCACCATCAATTGGTGTAAGATTACATCTTTCCAAGTGGAATTACTTGAATTGAACAATAATCATTTTGATGTGTATGATCTGGTATATTTATTTTAAAAAATCACCTACTGTGAAGGCTTTAGCTCAGCTAGATTTCTTCATAGGTTGGCACATTAACAACATAAATAATTTCATTCCTCTTGGCCTGAATTCTTTAGGCTAGTTATTGCCTACTTTTTAATTTTCGCCCTTTTTGAAAGGAGTAGATAATCTAGAAGAAGAGATCATCATTTTACCATTACTTGAACAAGCATTATTAGGATGATACTAATAGAAGTCTATCTTTCTACCACATACCAGATCAAATTGTTTACATTTTCCTTTTCCCTTTCTAAATATAATCTATATATAGTGCTATAGATAAAAACTATCTAAAAGTTAAGCATATTGGCTAGCCAAATTTAGGTAAATTTTTAAAAATATTCAACTTCAGAACAAGGTGCATTTTAAATAGCAGATTATTTTCCACTTTTATGTTCTCCTAAGACTTGTCAGATTTTATATTTTTTTTACTTTAATACAAACTGATTGTGAGAGGAGCAGACTTGACACTTGATGTGTTGTAAAACATGTATCTGAAAATATATGTATATAGGAGTCAGACCTTATTAAAATTTTCATTGAAGCAATTGTCCGTCACAGTTTTTCCAAATAAAATTGTCCTAAATAAACCATCTTGTTTTTATTTTCTACGACAAATTGGATTATAATCTCATCAGTTTACCATGAGGGGATTTTTGGAAGCTTTACGGTGAGGACAGCACCTTCCCTCCTTAAATATTTAATGTGTGTACATGTTCTTTCCTGCAGAGAAATGGTCAATGCATGGTTTGCTGAGAGAGTTCACACCATTCCTGTGTGCAAGGAAGGCATCAGAGGCCACCCAGAATCTTGCTCTTGCCCCTCACAGCAGAGTCCCCGTGCAGATAGCAGTGTTCCTGGAACACCAACCAGGAAAATCTCTGCCTCCGAGTTTGATCGGCCTCTTAGACCCATTGTTGTCAAGGATTCTGAGGGAACTGTGAGTTTCCTCTCTGACTCGGAAAAGAAGGAACAGATGCCTCTAACCCCCCCACAGTTTGATAATGATGAAGGGGACCAGTGCTCCAGACTCTTGGAATTAGTGAAAGATATTTCCAGTCACTTGGATGTCACAGCCTTATGTCACAAAATTTTCTTACACATCCATGGACTCATCTCCGCTGACCGCTATTCCCTGTTCCTCGTCTGTGAGGACAGCTCCAACGACAAGTTTCTTATTAGCCGCCTCTTTGATGTTGCAGAAGGTTCAACACTGGAAGAAGCTTCAAATAACTGTATCCGCTTGGAATGGAACAAAGGCATTGTGGGACATGTGGCAGCTCTTGGTGAGCCCTTGAACATCAAGGATGCGTATGAGGTAAACAACGAACTGTTAGTACAGAGTGGGGGTTGGGAGTGGAACCTGGCTGGGGCATTGGACAACTACTGTGAATAATGGGGAGTTTTGAGAATGAGATGTACTAATTTGCATACTTACTTAAAATGAGAATGTATGGTAGGAACTTTCCCATCTTTTAAATGCCAGAATTCCTTCACTGATGGCTAAGTCAAGAATAAGAGCCTGAGAGAAATCTTGTCTTGTTTTTCTCTTTAATGATAACTTAGCATGGCTCATCTCATAGTTGTATGCTTTCATCTTTTTACCTGATCACTATACACATCTCTATCTGTGTTATCTCCACATGAACTTCTGACGATTTTACTCAGATTCCAAAATGATAGGTCCCAAAACAGTCAGAAAACCAAACCTTCTAAAATTCACTTACTCCGTTAATCATATTCATTCATTTGAAGCCCCATTGATACCAAAATCTGATTGTCTTTCTTTCCATCCTTTTCTTTTCATTTCTTTTATTAAACAAATAAATTTATGGATGTCTTCAAAAAATGGAAATTTTTGCCCAAAAATAATTCAATGGGAAGATTCGATAGTTCTTCCACTTTTGGTTCAGTTATGAACAGGCCTTTAATTATGGACTTAAAAATTGCACTGTATGATTCTTCAGATTTCTTATTTAAAATTATTATTTTATTAATAGAGGTTTTAAACAAAGTATCTTAATTGAATGACACTTGGTATGTTTATGAATTATGTTCTACCACTTTAATAGAATAATTTTTCTAACTATTGTAGTAAAGTTTCCATAGTATTGCCAGCTTGAGGCTCTGCTGTGTAATTTGAGAAGTCATAGCTATTTTATTCACCCTTGTATTCCTGATGCCTAATATAGTGCCTGGCACATAGAAATACTGTATTTATAAATATTGATTGAGAGAAAATTATAGTAGTAAAGATAAGTAAGTAGAATAGAAAGCAGGTCATAATAGATGCCAGGGAAAATGTGTTAGGTTCAGGGAAGGAGATCACATCTAATTGGGGAGATGGAGAGAGGTTTCTTTGAGGAAGCAATGCTTGATAAAGACCCTGGAAAATGGATAAGACCTGAATAGATTGAGTTGTGTGCACAGTGAGATCCAAATGTGAAGAGGAATTTGAAGAGGAGACAGGAAGTTGGACCTAGTGGTGCTTGTATGGAAATGTGTGCATAATAGACAGTTTAGGTGTTGAGGAGCTACTGGTGATTACTGGGGTCTTTAATTCCAGGCTGAGGAGTATGTATGTGATTCAGAGCCATGAGGAATAATTGAAGGTGATTTGATTCTGACTGTGTTTTAGAAAGATGAATTTTATAGTGGTCATAAAATGAATGAGAGGGGAAAATCCTGGACACTGGGAAGATAGATTATTTTAATAGTCTGAGTAAGTTAAGACCTGAACCAGGGCGCTGGCCTTCAAGATCAAATAGAGCAAATGGATTTCAGATGAAGTTGAACCTGCTAGACTCAGCAGCTAATAGAAGATGGAAGTGTGGAGAAAAGAGGAGTTGGAGATGACTCAGGTTGTGAAGTTGGGTGAATAATGGTAACTGGTGAGGAATACCGATGGCAGGAATCTGCGGGGAGATGTGATGGTTCAGATAGGTTAAATTGGGAGAGGTTTTTCAGAATCTGTTCTCTACAAACAGTTTTTTCCATTTTGATTCTTCATGGGGCTGTCTCCATGACCTCTTTGAGCTCTGTGGTAACATCACACCATAGCAGCCTCCAGAGGGGTATTAAAGACACAGCTGAAGGATTGCTGCCAAATTTGCAGAATTCCGCTCCTGTCTTAGGTGACAGCTGGGTTTCCGCTTTTCAATGGCACTATAGTCCCAAGTATGGTAGGACCATAAATATGGTTCAGCTTTGCTGAGAAAGCCTTCATTTGTCTGCGTGGTCCTGAGTTTCTCAGCCTGAAAATTTCTTCACTTATATGCATTTTGTTTAGTCTGCTTACCATCTTTAGAGTTTTGAAGGTGCCATTTTTGTTTTGCAGCTAGTAATGATTTAATTCTTGTCCTGTTGTCTAAAATAGACCCACGGTCCTTGATTTGCCGTGCCCCCAGGGGGAAGCCTCTTAGCCTGTGGATTCCTCATGTTGCTGCTTCACCCTTAACACCCTTGATCCGTGTTTGTAATGGCCTTGCAGAAGTTATTCCTGTCCCAGGAATTTCATTAGAAGTCACGGGGTTGATCTGTGACATAACTTACATTGGTGTTAACAAGTGGAAGTGACTTGGCTAGTGGATAATTCATTACTCAGCCCACTCATAATCTTAATAGTCAAAACACTGTCTCATAGCCTTTTGTGAAAATAGTCAGAATGAAAAAAAACTATGCTTTCTGAGTCTATGCTTTCTGAGTCCTCTTTCTTTACATATGGCCATAAAATAACACTGATAAGCAATATTTCTTAAGCTTATCTGACCACAGAATGCTTTTAAAGTTGTAATGTAGCGATAGAAAACCAAGAGGTGGTCATGAAATATAATAGTGCTCAGATTAAAACTAAGAGTGAAAAAATAGTCTCCTAGATAAATACATTGTAAGAAATGGTAAACATTTGATTTACTTCTTAAAATTTTGTAACAGAATGTTATAAAGTTGGGTTTTCAACTCTTTTATTACTAATAAAACAATACATTCATGTATTTAAAATATAAAGCAAAATCCAAAACTTAGACCTCAAATACCAATGCTGTTCAGTCACACATCATCTCCTGCATCATCCCGTCATTTATATAACTTTGTTGAATGTGGCACCACATTTATTAGTAATAAGATATTAATACATAATAATCAAAAAACTATATAAATGTTTGGCATTTTCCTTATATATGAAAACTAGGTATCATTCAATATCTAGATCAGATTGTGGGTTCTTCAGAAAAACATAACCAGGAGGAGATATATAGATATATAGATAAATAAGAAGAGATTATGATATAAGAATTAGCTCACTTGGTTATAGATCCCCAGAACTTCCATGGTCTGGCTGTCATCTGTAAGCTGGAAAATTGATGGTGTAATTCAGAGTCTGGAGACCTAAGAATCGGGGCAGGGGGTGGGGAGGTTGAATAGTGATGTAACTCTGGTCTGGGTCTGAGTCCCAAAGCTTCAGAACTAGGATCTCTAATGGATGAGGCAGGAGACCAGGAGAAGATGGATGTCTCAGGTCAAGCAGAGAGCAAATTTGCCCTTCCTCTGCCTTTTTGTTCTGTTCAAGCGCTCAAGGAATTAGATGATGCCCACCGGCATTGATGATCTTGACTCATTCTAGTGATTCAAATGCTCATCTCTTCTGGAGACATCCTCACAGACACACACAGAAATAATGTTTTATCCTCAAGTTGACACATAAAATTAATCATCACAGATGGCCTTGAGCCTCCTGGTTCCATGTCCTTTGGAAGCCTTAAGCCTCCTCAAGATTTCCTATGTCAAAGGATTTATATTGTCTAAGTAACCATTTTTCCTAAGTCAACTGGAATGCAAAACTTGGACTCTTCTCCTATTTCCATGGAACAACCACTCCCTGGATACCGTGATTTCTAGGGAGAAAAAAGAGGGTCTTGGGGAAGGGTCACATTGCCACCCACGTGGCCTTCCGGCTACAGCTGCTACTCCTCCCATCCCCACTGTTTTCAGTCTTTCTCCAGGTAAATAAATCTTCTCCATCTTTCACCCTGCAGGTCTCACTTTCTACTCAAGTGAATTTCTAGTAATTAGAATTATTTCCAAAATGAATTTTAGGAAAGAAATGACAAGAGCAACTGTTTTAATTTTGATAAATTTGTCATGGTATAATTGTGCCCCAAGGAACACATTTGGGAACTGCTGTATTTTTTTCCAGTGTTCTAATAATCTTTAGGTATTCCACTCTGTGGAAGAAAACTAGCATATAATTTGGTAAGCCTGCTGTGTTGTTTCCTATTATTTTTATTGTTATGTCACTTCAAACTTTAAATAAAGTTGCAAGACCAGTATAAGAAACTTCTGTACACCTTTTACTTAGATTCTCCTGTTGTTTATATTTTGCCCCATTTGCTTTATTATTCTCTTTTTCTATGTATAATGTGTGTAAGTAACATATGCATATTATTTTTCTGAACCATTTGGAGATAGTTTTACTAAATATTTCAGTATGTAATTTCTAACAGGAATATTCTCTCACACAATTGTGATACATTTATCAAAATCTGGAAGTTTTATGATACAATACTATTACCTAACAGTCCATAGTCAGATTTGGTCAGTTGTTCTGTGAATGCCCTTTAGAGTTATTTTTTCCCTCTATCAGGGCTCCGGTTCAGGATTATATATTGCATATACTTGTCATATCTCTTTAGTCTCCATTAAATCTGGAATAGTTTCTCAGTGTTTCTCATTCTTGACATATGTTTTGGAAGAATACAGGCCTTATCTTGTTGAGTGTTTTCCTTGAATAGATTCAAGTTAGGCACTTTTGGCAGGAATACCACAGATGTTGATCTTGAGCTCTTGTTTGGTTTTCCAAACAACAGTCACTTAATTCTTCACTTCTCTTACACCAGCCAGGGTGTCCCACAATCCAACTCAATTCTGACACTAGCTACCTGGAGTTAGCGCAGAATCCACAGGTTAGGGACTCAGTCCCATGGTATTATTCCCACTTCAGATGTCAACCACAAATAGGATCCCCAGGCTGATCACACTTATGTCTGGCCAACTACAAATTCAGGGGTTCCCTGCTTAGTTTTAATAATTTGCTAGAATTACTTAGAGAACTCAAGAAATCACTATACTTAAAATTACAATTTTATTATTAAGGATACAATTCAGAATAGCCAAATGGAAGAGATACATAGGTCAAGGAGTGAGAGGTGGGGGACACAAAACATCCATGCCTTCTCCAGAGGGCAGTACACCACCATCCCAGCACATAGATAACTTCACCAACTCGAAAGTTCCTGCAAACCTGATTGTTTTCTGTGTTATGTAGGCATGATTGAGTAAATCGTTGGTTATTGGTGATTGGACTCAATCTCCAGCCCCACTTCCCTGTCCAGAGGTCAGTGGTGGGGCCAAAAGTTCTAATCTGCTAATCACTTGATTGGTTTTCCTGAAGCCAGCTCATCCTGAAGCTATTTGAGGCCCTCTCCTCTATAAATCTTGTCATAAGCATGAACTCAGATGTGATTGTAAGGAACTTGTTATGAATAAAAAAGACTCTCCTATCACTCATGAAATGTTAAGGGTTTGAGGAGCTTTATGCCAGGAACTGGGAACAAAGACCAAATACGTATATTTTTGTTATACTACAGACCTTCTTAGTATATATTATCAGGTAGCATATGATGTTACTTTACCCACCTGTTGATGATGTTAAAGTTGATAACTTGGTTATTAAAGTGGTGTCCACTTTAATAATGTCCACTATAATGTACAATTTTCCCATTGTAATTAATAGGTATCTTAAGGGGAGATATTTTGATATTGTGTAAATATTCTATTCCTCATCAATGTACATTTACCAGTTTTGTCATACACTGATTTTCCAACCTCGTAATACCTTCTATGTATATTAGTTGGCATTCTAATATAAAGAAGAGCTTTGCATTCTTTATTCACTCATTCATTTATTTATTTCTATCATTTTGGAATCATGGATTTTTATTTTGTTCAATGAGTTATACTCTGTTACTATTTTTAATCACATTCTCAAATTACACCAGATTTGCCAGCTCCTCTGTCTTTTTGATATGCCCCATCACTCTTGACATTTCTTGCTTGCTGGGGGAGCTGAAAGTTTTACCTGCTTAACAAGATGCTCCAGACTCATTTTATGCTTTCCCTGCCCTAGCCCTAGCACCATTATTTTCCCCAAGAAGCCCTGGTTCCTTTCAGTGGAAGAGATGGTATTTAGAAGCCAGGATCTGGACACTAGGTGTGGTCATTGCTACTAGTTTATCAGCAGACAGAGCTAGGAGAAAATAACCACATGTATATACAATATATCTAAATTTTTATTTATTTCTATATCTAACTGTTACAGTAACTCTGTTTGTAACACTGTTACCAACGGTGAGTTCTTACCTCCAGTTTCAATCTAACATCTCAGGGTGCATTTTGTTTTCTTCCTCCTTTCTTAAGGAGGGTATTTCCTCCTCCAAAAATAAAGCAGGTTTCCTTATTCTTTATATATTTGTGCTTAGGCTCAAGCCAAGTTCCAAGCTGTCTGCTCCCTTTCCTTAGATTCTATTATTGTTCCCTTCAGGCTGAAGAACTTCCATTAGCACTTCTTCAGTACTGGTCTGGTGATGACAGATCTCTGATTTCATTCATATGAAAATGCCTTTATTTTGCCTATATTCTTCAAAGATATTTTCACTATGTGTATATGTGCTTAAGGTTTTCACTAACTTTGGGAAGTTCTTGGTCATGTCTTTAAATATTTTTTCTGTCCCATTCTCTTCTCTTTGAACTCCAATTATATATACGCTGGACCACTTGATGTCCCAGAAAACACTGAGGCTCTGTTAACTTTCTATATGTATTTTTTTCCTCTCAGTCCTTTTGATTAGATTCTTTCTGTTCATCTGTCTTAAAGTTCACTGACCCTTCTGCCATTTCCGAACTGCTGTTAAATCCATCAGTGAACTTTTCATTTTAGACTTTATACTTTTCAGTTCTAGAATTTCCATTTGGGTTTTTTTGTTGTTGTTGTTTTTAACAATTTTTCTTTCTTTACAGAGATTCCCATCTGTTCATTATCACCATATTTTACATCCTTAATTACATTTATAATAGCTGCTTTGAAGTCTTTGTTGATTACAACATCTGAATCATCTTGGGGTCATTTTCCATTGACTGCTTTTTCTCTTCGTTGTGGGTTGCAGTTTCCTGTTTCTTCACATGTGTTGTGATTTTTTATGGTATGCTGGACATTGTGAGTGTTTTGCTGCAGGGCATTTGGATCATATCATCCTCCTTTAAAACAGGGCTGACCTTTGTTCTTGCAGACAGTGAAGTGCTAGAAGTTACTAGAAGATCCTTTTGGTTCTGTCAGGCTCAGTATTATTTGTTAGGATGGACCTACTTATAAATTTTTTTAGACTTAGGGAATGTCACCCAAATGTAGGGTATGGTCCTTGCTCCTAAGGAGTGCCTTTCTGTATCTCAGTTGAATGCCTGAGGTGCTGAGTGATGTGTCTCCTCTAGCTGAGTAGAACCCCAATGTCTTCAAACATTTTTGTATCTGGTGTTACCATTCTGCTTTCAGTCTTCAACAAGTAATTTTTGCTAGACTCTCTTAAAGTCTTACCAAATACCTCTCTGAAATGATTAGCCACTCAATTTCTGCCACTCCCCCTTTACACCCCTACCCCCCACTCCCCCAACACAGCCTGTCTTATCAGGTACTTTACCTTGCAAATTCCAGACACTTTAGAAGCCCTGAATTCGGTTCCATTTGGAACTGTTACTCTACTTGTGCACCACCTGCCTTCTCTTCATCAGGAAAATATCCACAGGAGGAAAGTCAGATTATTACAAGGCAGTCATGTGATAACCCCTGTTGACTGTCTGTGCTTTAGTTATTTCATATATTTTTCAGCAGGAGGGCAAGTCTGGTAGCAGTTGTTTTATTATGGCAGATGGGTACCTCAGCTTTGTGTTTTTTTACACTGTCATATTCTCATAAACAGTGAAAGAAATAATCACAATAGTAGTGCTTCATTTTTTCTTCAGTGTTTCTTGGGCCTAGAGGTATTGGAAGTTCTCTCTGTGTTTATAGCCCTTGCACTGAGTGCATTGTTAAAGGAAAATTCTTTGAGATGCTGAAATTCATTTTAAGTGATTTTGAAGCATACATTACTCCTACCTCCTTCAATGAAGAGTGAAATCCAGGGCTGCTGTTTATTTTAAACTTCTAGTATGCACACACACTCACACAAACTTCTGTGAAAGTCCTACTAATTTCAGCCTGTCAGCCTCTATTACTTTGATTAGATAGTTGGGTTTAATTCTCTTTTTTTATAAATTTTTTGTAATTCAGATATTCATTAATAAAATGATTGATGAGGATGTATTTCTGTTCGTATTTTGATTATTAGCTTGTAGAATAATTCAGTATGTAAATTCACAATTTTTTAATTCTTTTAACTCATCAGTATCAGTATCAGTATCCTGTCTGCTTTCTTTACATACTTTGCAATATAGTATGTAATTTAAGAACTAGTTCTTGGAAACATTTAGCCAAGGTTTTCTCTGTCTTTCAATATAACTTTAAGCATGTTTGCAGAAAAATTAAAACTGTAGTAGTGTTTATTTGTAACATAAAATATTTATATAGATTTTCCACTATTTTATATCTTTTCTTTTAAAATTGTCTTTAATGCCAAGTGTGGCCCTCTCGGGGAAAATTGGCCTCATTTCTGACCCCAGATGGTGGAATCTAATGTAACCATTTGCTTTATTCACAGCCTTCACTTTGCGTGACTTCAGGCTAATTAAAAAAAAATAGGAATGACCTTCAAAGACGAGGATTTTTCCACTGTGACTATTCCATATTCTCTGAAGGGAATTCCAAAAGCAGAGTTTTTGGAACAATGATGCTATGATTAGGTTGAGCATGAAAATTCCCAATGCTATTGCTTTGAAGGGAACAATATTCATTCAGATGTTTATGTTCTGGTATCTTGGCTTCATTTTAATTGTATCTCATATAGTGGTATCTGTCCATTTCTTCAAGTATGTTTTCCCTCCTACTTACAAGATTTGCTTTAAAGTATAGTAAGCTGAAAGTGATCACATTGGATAATCATGATATCATTTGTTAATGAATTCCCTCATTTAGTTAACAAATGTTTTTGAATTCCTGTGCTAATCTTAGGAATATAGTGATGAACCAAAAGAAAAAAAAAAAGCCCCTCATAGAGTTTACAGTCTACCTTTAATCTTCTCAATCTGGTTTAATGGAAAATAGCCTGTATCTTTCGTTCTTTAGCCTGCATTTAGAACTTTTATACCTTTCAGAAGTCCTTTGTGATTATTGGATATATAAGACATATTTGGTAAAAGGAAAGAGCTTTAAAAGATTAAGGAATTGTTTATAATCTGATGAAGGCCATGCAGCTTTTTTTTAATATATATACAAAAAAAGAAAAGATTTTAATTGTCATGATCAACTGAGACAGAAATATAGAATACCGAGGAAACATGTAAACAATCATTAGAAGGAAACTAAAGTCAGTATTGGAGAGACCATTTTGGAGGTGGTAGGTTTTATAGGAAAAGTTTCAGAGCAGAGATGCTTTTCTTTTTCAGAAGAATCAGTGAGATGGGAACAGGCAAATTGTATTACAGAGGAGGAGAGGTGCCACTTTCTCCTGAATTTAAGTAAGGCTGTCTAAATCGGTTAATATTTTGAATTTCCTTTATTTCTTAACATCTGTCTATGTCTGTATTTTTTCCATAACCACTGGCTCCTAAAAAATCTTTAATTTATCTTTGTCAAAGATGATATGTGCTTATATGACTTGATGCCTTTTACAGTGATAAAATTGTCATTCAGAGCAACAAGATAGGTCAAAGATTAGATTTCTCTAATCCTATAAATCAATAAATCAGAAAAATCAAATCAACCTTTGAACAGGTCAGTCATTCAATTGAATTTCTTCTTCCTTTCTAGGATCCACGGTTCAATGCAGAAGTTGACCAAATTACAGGCTACAAGACACAAAGTATTCTTTGTATGCCAATTAAGAATCACAGGGAAGAGGTAAGCCAATTTTCCGTTTTATAAAAGGTCATTTGGAAACATTTTCCTTTTTGAAAAATTTTTTTTACTTTGCACACTTACGAACTAATGCTGTAGTGATAAGTTAACTATAAAGTTCTTTCTCTGATTTTTTTTATTTAGACTTTAGTAATAAGGTTGAATCCTGATGGAGACTTTACTTTGAGAAATAAATTTTAGACATGTCATTTCCTTACCTCTCTCTCCTGAGGACCTTACTCTATCCTAAGATATATAATTGTGGTTGTGGTTACAATCAATTTATTTCATATTATATTTTAAACGTCTGAATAAAGCTTATTTCATAAATGGTTATCCAATTGCAATGATCATCAGCTGATTTTGGCGGGGGAGGGGGATTCAAAATGAGGTTTTGGAAAAATGGAAATTGTAGCTAATTCCAAGTGAAATTTCTTGTGAAATTATAACAAGCAAATGAAAATAAGTTGGTTTCTGTTTCACCTAACTGGAAGATTTGGATTCTGTAAGCACTGAATTCTCTCTTCATTTTATAGTTATTTGAAAAAAGAGTTAATAAATTATCATTTAAACTGAATGCTCCAGTTGAGTGTTCTCAACCTGTCCGCACATTACAATCAACTGTGAAACTTATAAAATATTACCAGTTAAACCAGAATCTCTAAGGGCAGGGTCTGGATACTGATACATTTGTAAAGCTCCCCAAGTACTTATAAAGTACAGCTAGGGTTGAAAAATCACTTCTCTAAGTGAAAACAAATAGATTGAAAGAGCCCATATTCTTATGATTCTTAACCTTGGCAGCACATTAGAGTCACTCAGGGAGCATTTAGAAATTCTAATGCCCAGGTTTCACCTTAAATCATAATCTCTGGGGTTGAGATCCAGGCATCAGTATTTCTTAAAGCTACTAGGTGTTTATCATGTGCTGCTAGGGTTGAGAACCACTGCCAAGGATACTAGAAACACTTTCATGGTTCTACTTGATTTACATTCAGATTCTGACATCTCTCCTTTCCTTCTTCCATTCAGTCCTTTACTGAGTCCATCGATAATTTTTTTTCTGTTAGTCTTTCTCATTTTGATTCCTTTCTTTTCATTCCTGCTGCCTGTGCCATAATTCAGTTCTTGAAGTAATAGACTTTTAAAATATTCTTGTAAGGGGTTTTTGTACTTCAAGTCAGTTTCCCTTCAGTCCACCCTGCATATGCCCTTGGGAATTTTCCAAAAACACGGCTTTATAAATCTGGGCTTCTAAAACAGTAATGTGCATACGAATCTTAAAATGCAGATTCTGAATTCAGGAGGTCTAGGTGAGACCTGAGTGAGATTCTTTTCTAACAAGCACCAGGTTGATGCTGGTGCTCTAGATCTGCAGATCACAATTTGATTAACAGGCTCCTGTATCAGTCACTTCTCAGTAGTCTAAAATAAGTTCCCTGTGTCTTAGAGTTGCCACATGGTTTCTTAAGAGGGTAGTTATAGCCACAGTGACTAACATTACACGCAACTAAAACATGCATATGAAATTAATTAAGTAGCTAATTAATTGTGAGTAAATAAAATTGAAGAGGCCATGCCTAGACTAGTGGTGCTGGTGTTATTAATCAGATTGTCAGATAGAGCAAATAAAAAATATGTCTCATGCAATATTTGAGACATTGTTATACTAAAAAATTATTTATTGCTCATCTAAAATTAAATTTGACTGGCTGTGCTATATTTTATCTGGCTGCCCTGGTTATAAACCAAGGACTGTGATTGTGTACACTCGAAAAGATGATTTTCAGCTTTTAGTTAGTGAGTATGTTTTAAAACTCTGGCCCCAAAACAGCTTTGTACTGGTCAAGAGACTCAGCCCAAATCATGCTCTGGTTAAACGTCTCCTTCTAAATAGCATGAACGGTGGGCATGGGGGAACCCCTGAGAATGTGCAGTAAAACCACCAGGTAAAGTAAGGGGGACTGCCCTTCTGTAAGAGAGTGTCCTCTGAATACCCATGTTTCATTTCAGTCTTTATGAATGCCAGTGAGGCTGGTTTAATTGAAAACAAACAGCAACAATAACAAAACCTCCGCTGTACCGAGGTGTAATACAATGCATACAATAAAATCCACTCACTTTAAGTATATAGTTTGATTAGTTTTTCTACAGATGTATATACGGTCATGTAACCACCACTGTAATCAGGATACAGAACATTTCTGTCACCTCAGCTATTTCCCAGTACCCCTTATAGTCGACCCCCCCTCCAGCCTCCAGCCACTGACAGTCACTGATCTGTTTTTTGTCACTATTGTTTTGCCTGTTGTAGAATGTCATTTAAATCATGTAAGGGGGATCATACAGTATGTAGTCTTGTGTGTCTGACTTGGCATAATGCTTGTGAGATTCACCCATTACTGCATGTGTCAGTGGTTTGCTCCTTTTTATTGCTGAGTGTTTATTCCATGGTATGGATATGCTGCAGTTTGATTCTCCATTCATCCATTGATAGACATTTGAGTTGTTTCCAGTTTTTGTGTTAGGGAAAAAGCCATAGTTGATGCTTGCATACAGGTGTTTGTGAGGACATAATGTTCTCATTTCTCTTTGGTAAATATATAGGAGGGGCATTGCTAGGTCACATGGGGGGGGTGTATGTTTAATTTTTATAAGAAACTTCCAAACTCTTTTCCAAAGGGGCTGCACCATATGTATTCTTACCATCAATGTATGACAGTTCCAGTTGCTTCAAAGCCTAGGCAACACATGGTATTGTCAGTTTTTTAAAAATATCATCATTCTGGTGGGGAATAATTTAAATTTGATTACATGAGTCAATAATCCCACTCTCAGCCAAAGGCCTTCTGCTCACTTACAGACCTAATTAAAGTGGGTTCAGCTCGGGGTCCCCAGGTTGTGCTTGTCCAGGGTTCTCCCTAAGATTTCTGCTGGCTTCCTCGGCATCACAGGGTGTCTGCCTCCGGGCTCCCACACCCTCTCCTGCTGTCTGTTTTACCCTTTGATGACTGGATATGAAGCCTGAGCTCTTCCCTGGTTTCCACAAAAGTTTGTTCATGAGAAGCATTTCAGGAGATAAAAGAAACCAGCACTGGAGTCTTAGGAAATTACTGATGGGAGGGTTTCCAAAGCACAGCCTTTTAAATATCTTGCTGACCCTCCCCATTGCCTGTCCTTCCCCCCTGCTCCCTCTCCTCCCACGCTCACACTGCCCAGTTTGAAATTATTTCCTGTGAGAACTCTCTCCTCGGAGAAAAGGAATGAGGAGAAACAGTCGGAAGAAGAAATGTACTCTCAGCGTGGCTGCTGTAGTATAGAAAGTAATTTGACTGACTGAGAACCAGAGCCACTGAGAAGATGCAATATACAACTTCCAGAATTGTCTTTATATTTATAGCTGCATAAACAAGCTCAGGGCAGTGTTTGCTGCTGTGTACACACAATAGAAAAGTACTACGCTTTCTCTCACGAAGCTTTTGAAATCAAAACAGAGAGTCACAGGAAGGCTTTGGGGAGTAATGAATTGTTAGGATTGCTTGCTCTGGGCTTGAATCCCATCTTCACCACTTACTTGATGAGTAACCAGGATGGAATTGGTTAATCCCTCTTGATCTTCGGTTTCCTCATCTGCACAATGAGGGTTATAAAAGGACCTACCTCATAAGGTTGTTGTGAAGATTAAATGCATTCGTGCATGCAGCGGGCTTATAGTTCTGGCACACTGAAAGTGATCAATAAATGTCAACTGTAATTTTTTTAAAGGAGACATGGAACTAACAGAACTTTTAAGAGAAACAAGGAATGATAAAATTGTAGGAAGAGGTCATCAGCCACGTAGTAACCAGACAGCTGGGATCAAATCATAACCAGCACAGTCCTGACCTAAGTGGTCTGTTACCCTCTTACTAAACTTTAAGTGTAAAAAAAATTATTTTGATTATTTTTCCTCGTAAATGAGGCAAAATGAATTTGGTTTCTTGTCTTTGTGTTAGTTCAGCTGTACTGAGAGAGCCAACACCAATTCCAACTAATTACCAAGGAACCTAAAATGAAATGCGATTATTGGTTGTTTATAAAATGTCCTGGTACAGTTTAGTGACCCCAGTTTCTTAAGCTACCAACTCTGTAGAACTATTTGAATGGAGCAGTTAAACTATAAACAAGTCTGAACTATATATACCACAATCTGAACTATAACAGAGTCCAGAAAATCGAGAGAGATTTTTTAGAGACAATAAAATATATAATCGTCTCATCTGCATCTCTTCTTGTGAAGTATTTCAACTAAAATTTTTCAGGATTTCTTTTCATGAATGTTATAATCTTAAGTGTAATAGATATAGTAATGCCTTTTTAAAAGTCACAATCACAGAGATTCTTAAAACTTCTGTGACAGAATGTTTAAAAAAAATGATAAATTTTTTTAATCTTCCCCTCTGCCCTTCTAAGAGAATGGGGTTAATGGGCAAAAGTGGTGGTTGGGGGGTACTGGAGTAGCTTGAGGAAGCTAAAATAACTTATTTTGGAAAGATCAGAGAGCTATTGCCTAGAGAAAATGAATGAAGACAAAAGGTAAAATGGTCAAGGGGAAGAAGAGAGCCAGCACATGCTGTGTAACTGGGTGGTTTCAGGACAGCAGGGTAGGACTCTGGCAATAACTGCCTATCCTTTGGTAACTATTCTAAGGATTTGATGTGGATTAATTAATTTCATCTTCATAACAGCCAGACATAGGAGGTAGTCAGTATTTTATTCCTTCTTAACAGATGATGAAACTGAGGCAGGGAACATTTAGGGAACTTGGCCAAAGTCACATAACTAAAAACTGGTGAAGCTGAGATACAAACCTTGGCAGTCGTGACTACAGGGTCATGATAAGGGCAGGAAGTTTCCTTAAAATTCTGCTGTGGGTGATGACTGCAGTCTACTTTATTCCCTTTTAGTGTTTTCTTGAGCTGCTGCAGTAAACATTTAAATTACTGTTGATTTCAGGATGGGAG